AGGGTGTGGGGCAGGGGCAGGCACTGTTCAGTCAGGGTGGGGCACAGGACGGAGCTGCAAGTGGCTCATCTGGGGGGCATGGGAGAAGAGCGGCTCCCACCCTGCATACACCCTGGGAGAGCATGGGCGGCATGTGCCCCGAGATCTGTGCAGGGGGTGAGCTGTCACTGCGGGCTAAGGCCAGAGGTGGCGCCAAGCTGTTCCTGGCGGGGGACTGGGCTGGACCAGGCTGTGCTCAGGGCAGGCAGCAGTGGTGCTGGGAGAGGGGCTACATCCAATTTTGGGGGGTCCCCATAGCCCCTCTCGCAGCACCGCCACCACCTGCCCCAAGCACAGCTTGGTTCAGCCCTCCCACCAGGAACAGCTCAGCGTAGCCCCCAGCCCTCAGCAACAGCCTGCCCTACCATACCCGGCGTGCAAATCCAGGGGCACACACCCTCCATGCCCTCCCAGAGTGTGTGCAAAAAAAATCTTTAAAGCCTCTTCTGAGCATATGCAAACTCAGAGGCTTATAATTTGACCCAGCTGAGGAAAAATTTTGCAACCCACAGCAAAAGACAGGTGACACCTTAATAACCCCTCCCCCTTCCCCTAGCCAAATTTCACCTTTCTTTTCCAAAGTATGAAAGTGCCTCTCTCACCAAGTGCTAACACTTAAAGACAAAATTATTTTAAATATATTTTAACATAGGTGAGAAATACATATCTTTCCTCATTTCCAGAAATGGGTGAACTGTTTTCAGATTAAACTTTCAAAAGAAAACTAACCTAATTGTTAACATTTTTAAAGGCACCTAGAAAAACAAAAATAAATTGTGTAGTTTGTTGACCAAACTTCAAAAAGGGGAAGTTAATGACAGGGAATTGTTAACAAACTATCAAGCTCCTCTTGATACCTTTTTTCCCCCAAGCAAAATTCTACACTTGGATGAGATGTGGTGGAGAATTTCAGATGGATTGGTTTCTTTATGGGAAATTTCAGTTGAAATTGAGTTTGCTATAACCCTTACATAGGTGCCTGGGCGTGTCTACACATGCCCCTATAGCACTGTTGTTACTGTGCCATCATTTAGTACTTCGTTTTGGAAGTAACAACCATTACTGCACTGTGCTGGTGGCACATGGTTATTTTTAGCCCCTACGTCTCTGTATCTGTGGCATCACAGTTTGCACCTGCCATAGTGTGTTGCTATGGCGACATAGTGTCATGTGTAGATGTGCCTCCTCGGCTGTACAGTGGCTTAAAAATGAGTAATATTTTAGTGCTATGTTCTTCTCTCGGTGGCTTGTATTAGCCACAGGGAATGGAGGAGAGGCTCTAAAACCATTTGAATGGAATATGTACGCAACAAATGTCATCCAAGTGTCTTATGTTTAGCTTTCCAGCAGCCTAACATATCAGACATGGAAGTCCAGTATCCTCTTAGTACTGCAGTGGATTTTCATGTGACTGCATTTCAAGGATACCCACAGTTTAGTGACCCTGAACACCAGATAGTAAAGTATTTCTCTTTTAATGCCTTCATTATTTGCTATATGTGCTATGTGATTGTGCAGATCATTATAATGAAATGTCCTGAGCAAAGTGCAGAGTTTGGGGAAGATCAGTTAAGTGTTTGGAAGTGGCAGAACGACTCTTATTGGTGATACCCAGTATACTTTCAGAACTGAATATCAGAACATCATGCTAAAAAACTGATTTTGGCAGAGTGCTTGGTTTACTGATCTCTAAACAGTCAGTTAACTAAAAATAAGTTTAAAGATTGCTGTTGTATGTTAAGACCTAAATTCCCTATACTAATTCCCATAACTGACTTTTTCATAGCTATTTTTCTCTTCAAACATGTATGGAAGTTTATAGGAATTCTGCTCACATAGGGAAAACAAAAATAGCTTAAACCCTCTCTGGATTGGAGAGTAAGATTTAGAATGGCATTTTTCAATAATCTTTCTCATGACTAAAGCTTACCATTTTTAGCACATTTTCATTTTGACATCCAGAAATAGCTAGGAACCTTTAAAACAGAACATAATCAGTAAGGCTGAGCAAAGCACAATTCCATTTCACAGTAAATACTTTTGTAACATGTTCTGATATAAAATAAAAAAAAGTGAGACCTTTTGAAAATTTTTGCAACAAAAGCGTGGGAGAGACTCTCAGCTTATATAATAGGCAATAGTGTGGATGCATCCTACAGGGACATGGGAGAACTGGTTATGGCCCCTGGACCACAACAGACTGACAGGGGCTTGAATTAGGAGCTTCTGCCTCTCAGGAGAGTGTCCTAATGTTAGAGAAGGATGTGGAGTTGGCTTCTTACTCTAAGAATGTGCATCAGACATGTGTCTGAATCTGAGAAACATTTTCCACTAAAAAATTTGGTTTCAATGGAAAAAGGATTTAGCAAATATTTTGACCAACTCTAATGTTTATGGCTCTTTTAGGTATCATATTTTAAGGTGTTTAGGTCGGCACATTGTATAAGTTGACCCCATATTTCTGTTAGGATTTTTGTACGTCCAGTGTATATGTCGACCCTGCCTCTGTGCGAAGCGCTGGAAGCCCAGGCGACCTCATAGGAGAGGTGGTGTGCTGGTAGGCTCCCAAGAAGTTGGATCAACCCTGGGAGCTCAGGCAGCACACAACCCGCTAGCAGCCCACCCGGCTCGCCCCGGGAGGCTCTACCACCATGAAGGGAAGGAATGGACCCCACCACAGCTCAGAGGCTGCCTGCCTGGCAGCAGCTCACCCCTCCCCCCAGCCACAGGGTAGGCGAGGAGACTACACTGAAAGCTGGATCAGACCCCTCATTGCTTCTGCCTTCAGCAGGCACCTGTGGCTGGCAGGATGCCTGGCACCATCTGGGAAGGGGCTGGCTTTATGAAAAACTCAACAAAACTTGCCACCATGAAATACAGTAACTCTAATGAAATAGTAGCATTGTTTGTAATGCACTGTTTCTGTTTAAGAACAGCTTGTAGAAAACTAGTGCAGATGTTTCTAGTGCATTAGAAAACTTTCTTAATTAGTCTAGTGATTCTCTTATTCTAGAGAGCGCACAGCATTACCAACCTCAAGCATTCAAAATTCATGATCTAACTTCATAAAAATCATTAGATTGCCTTAAAACTCACAAGATTTTAAAAGCGATAAGTTTTGGATTCTTTTTGCATGTGTTAGGTTTTGAAGCGATTTTTCTGTAACCATGAGGTCTAAAAACTTGCATGTATTCATGAGAGCTGAGATTCTCATGCAGTTGATTAACATTAATTGCATAAGACTTAATTGTTCTTTACTTACTTGTTATCTTTTAGATCACCTCTGGGAATTTAAAAACCTCCTTGTCCAATGTAGTTCTATCTCAGGTACCTTTGAGTTGCACACAACTCCTTGGTCATCCTGTGAGTGCTTATTTGATGATGACAAAAGGGCAATTACGTTTAAAGAGAAGTTTCAAAAAAGTGAAAAGTCTCTCATGAAGATGACAGATCTGTCAACACACATAATGGAAAAACGTTCAGGTAAGATTATTATCTAAAAATAATAAATGGCTATCTATTTAAGGAAACACATTGCTAAGCACTAGAGGTGCCATAATAGTAAATGTGTTTACCCCCCTACCCCCAGAAGTATTTCTGGGGGGGAAAGGGGAGGGACTTTTGGTGGCAAAGGTCAGGGGTTAGGGG